GTTCGGTAAGTATTGTGGTTTTGGGGTCACGGTTTTGGTACGTTTCAGTATGAGGGGCAAGGGGGAGTATTAGTGGTTATAGAAATTTCCACAAGAATACTCTACAATTTGCTAACAAAAAAAAATAAAAATAAATAATAATTCATTCATTTAAAAGTTTGACTTAAAGTGATAGTTCACCCAAAAATGAAAATTAGCCCATTATTTACTCACCCTCCAGCCATCCTAGGCGTATATGACTTCCTTCTTTCAGATGAATCCAATCGGAGTTATATAAAAAATTGACTTTGATTTTCCAAGCTGTTCAATTGCAGTCAGCGGGTGTTGCAGTTCATCAGTCCAAAATAAGTAAAATAAAGCGCATCCATCCATAATAAAAAGTGCCTCACACGGCTCCGGGTGGTGAACAAAGTTCTCCTGTAGCGAATCGATGCATTTTTGTAAGAAAAATATGCATATGCAAAATATCCATATTCAAAACGTAATAGTCACTTTAATCTAGCTTGCGCCAGCAGTTGTACACGGAAGCAGCTCTGGGAGGATGACGTAAGATGTCGGCGTTGAGTCTCATGAAAACCAACGTTTGTTAACAGGAGCAAAGGAAGCAAAGTTTCCTTACTTTAGCAATGGAAAACCAGTCTCCTCTTGGCTTATATCGAAATCCTCAGACATTCTTCTTTACAAATCCTCGTTTTGTACTTCTAATTCATGACCGTTGCTTTGTTTTGATCTCTCCCCTGGGCTTCCGCATTTGTCACTTCTGCGTGGCGCATGCGCAACTGTCAAATTATTGTCTGGATACCATTCTCAGACCAATGGGCAAACAGAGAGGAAGATCCAGGAAATTGGGCACTTTCTTTGCACCTATTGCCAAAGCCACCAAGCTTCCTGGCTCCTTGCATGGGCCAAGTATGCTCAAATTCTCTTCATCCTAACAGAGACTGGATTAACACCATCACGAAACTCTCAGCAGTGAATCATTGGTTCTAGGAACAAAAAAATATTTTTTTTGCAATCATACAATTTTGGTACATAATAATTAACATACAAGCATCTATAATGCATGAAAATAACTTTTTTTACTTATATTTTTGATAAATTCATTGTTTATATCAGATGGTCAATGTGCTGTTATAACAAGTAAGCTGCACATTTTACACTCATGAACAGACGAATAATCATTTTTTGATAAACCGAAAGAATCCAAAAAGAAATGTATACACTGTTCCTATTCAAGCTATGGCTTTCTGTGTTGTGGTGACAAACTTGAGTCTTTGCTTTTCTTTTTAAAATTCAGTGTGTTACATGTTCTCTGGCTTGGTCTTTGTTTGGTGTTTGAACTTTCATTTTGTAGTGTATTTTCTTTGTATTACCTTTGTGTATTACCTTTGTTTTCAGTGTTTCACCCCTGTGATTTGTTTCCGTTTCCTTTGTTGCCTGGTCTGTTCCCTTGTTTGTTCCAATGGCTACCCTTATTTGTTGTAATTCTTTTGACCACACCCTCTCCTGGTTAGTTTCTATGGTAACTCATTAGTCTTTTGTTCTCCTGCCTATATTTACACCCCTGTGTTCAGGCTTTTTTTGTTGGTGGTTTTCTTTATTTTTCTTCATGTGTGTAATTCTGCCTGGTTTTTGTCCTATTTGTATTCTCTTTGATCCTCACTTCACCTTGTCCTTGTAACACAGTGCATATTGTCATATTATTTATAAGTTATGTAAGCTGGTTTCTCCATATGGAAAGAAAAAAAGTAAAAGAGAATGTATATGTGTACCATACTGTTGGGAACTTGTTGGCATGTTGGGAACTTCTCATTGGTTGCTCCTTAAAGTCTGCAAGAACCTGTAGTGGCTACCAACTTCAGTATTTCCAATTGAAATGGAATACTAAATAGAGGGTGGGGTTTTATTTCTGCACACCTCCTCTTCATCTCTCGCTCACAGCAAACTAATGGTTGGAGGGGCGTGGCTAAGGATATTTTGCACAAACCATCAAACTGACATCATCAGAGAAGGAATGCCATTCCAGTGTGGAAGCAAATGTTCAGATTTTGATTAAAAATTACCAAGACAGTTTTTTTTTCTGTAGATGAACTTGCACAGATTAATTTTTCACCTCCAGACAAGCAATGTGCGCTAACAATGTAAATAGTTTCAATTTTGATTTCATGTGGACTTTAACACTTGACTGGACAAAGACATCACAAAGCCTGTACAAGGGAGCTCATTGTAAATGTCATTATGTAAGGCTGAAAGCTTTGCTGCTATTTTGAACCAATAATCTGAACAAAATTCAGTCAAAGGATGAAATGTAATTTAATTATTCATGTGAATTCAATATCATTAAGCTCCTTCAAAGCTGTTCCGAAACAATACAATGATTTGTTTTATTGTCTTGGAACATTTTACTCATGTTGGACAGTGTTGATGGTATTGTCCGATTGCTGGTTTCCACATACCTGACAGCTAGGTTTGAGTTTGAGCTTGAGGTTTCTCCTTGTGGGAGTTTGTCCTTGTGTGTCAACAGATTAAAGTCTTTTTCATGGGTTGTGAGATGAGGGAAATGTTTGTGTATTATCAGGGCATGTTGTTAAAAGTGCAGTTCTGTTTGCAGAAAATCTGTCAGTGAGAAAATGGAGAAGTCTGTGGTTTAGGATATTGTGAAAATGTCTTTATTCAATTCAAGGTCATTCTACAAGGATATATTCGATGAGATTTAAATATATTTGGGGAAAACCAAAGGTGCTTTATTAAATCTGACCGACAGATCAGACAAAAGACTGTATAAATATTGACTTACCAGAAAAACAACTTACTTTATCAGATCTAGCATATCGCATATCTGTACATTCATTTAAACAATTAGGCTATAGCATAGGCAGAGGGTGAATCAACTCCAGTAAGGCTAAAAGCAGCCAAATGTATTAAACATCATAAACCCGTCTTTTTAGGCAGGAACCAGACATGGGTGTCATGTAGGCGAGGAACTACAATAATGTACAGTATTTGAAAAAGAATGTGTTTTTTTTAACATTAAAGCATGTCAACATATTCTGTTACACCAAATACACAAAATAATGATCTTTAAAAAAAGCATCATATGACCCCTTTAAAAACGTTAGAAATTGATAATTATATAACGAATATGCTATTCAAACAGCCAATAAATTATATATAGAAAGTGACATTATCACTAACATTGATCCATCTTAAGCACTCTCAGAAAAACAAAACTATCATTATAATCACTTAAGCTGTATAGACTGTTAAATGAATCTCTTACTTACATTGTACGTTCATCTGCGCTTTGTTGTTTATCATGAGAGAATTCGCAAGAGTCCGGAATTCAGTCAGCGAACGCGCGCACACTCAACAAAAATGATCTGTTTCAACGATGACTCATCTGAGCTCCTCTGATTGGCCATTGCATTCCTAAGCTCAACAGAATCGTGTGTGATTGGTTCAAATGCGCAACACTGTAAAAACGGTGCAACATGAGCAGATCTTAATTTAATGCCGCAATCGACGCTGTCTATTCATATTCACTTTGTTAGCATCAGACGTAATAGATTAAATTTATTTGTGCAGGGGCATTTTTGTCCAATTTAGTGCCCTTTTGGTCCCAAGTCCCCGTGGCCGGGGGAAGGCTGAGCCTTCTTTTAGGATTTTTAATTTCTGAATTAAAATGTATTTTGATATTTTCTTGGAGGTATACAGCAAACATGTTGGTGTGATACAACCATCCTGATTTCATAATGAAAAAAGCCTTATTAAAAGAAATAAAGTTTTGAATAGAAAGCATTATGAAGTAGTTAGACAATCTTTTATTATTTCCTAGAATTGTTTTAAACACTCTTATAAGTAATTGACCCAATATCAGGTTAGCTTAATAAATCATATTGGGGAAACAAAGGGTGCTTTATAAAGCCTGTTTCACAATAAGATACAGTAAGACTGTATAAATATTGATCAACTTTAAAATCTCTCAGATCTAGCAAGTGACTGTAAGGCTTACACATCATATTGGCTAAACATGCAAAACACCTACACTGTAAATAAGTGAAAAACCAGATGCAGTGGTTGTCAGAGTGTACAGTGATGTGGCAATGATGTTTCAGGCATTATGGGAGGCATTTTGGTGACTGTATATTTTATTTACATTTTCTAACTGTACTAAATGTAAAATATGAAATATGAAATATAAAATATTTAAAATATGTTACAGTATGTGTACTGATATTAACACAATTGGTACAATAGAACATGATGATTATGTTTTATCAGTTTTGGTTATATATATGCTAAATTCAATATAGACAAATGTGGCAGTTCTCATAGGGAATCCTGGTAAGGGCCTTTAATGGAATTATGTTCTATAAATTATTATAAATGAATGCCTAATAAATGCACACCCAGAATTTTAGTGTAGTGTGCATTAACTTTACATACATACATTATTTTAAAACAGATTAGCATTAACTGTTTATGTATTCTTTAAACAATTAAGTAATTTAACTGTAATATTAATAAAGCAATTTTCTATTTTTAACATTTGTACATGTAGCCTCTTTGAAATACTCGAAACTAGACTATACTTTAAATACTTGGAATATTATTATTTTTTACATTTTAAGATGTACTATACAACCGTCTGCTAAATACTATTGAGTATTGAGATTAGTATTATTAGCATTAGTATAATTGAGAATTGAGATTAGAGATTAGTACATAGCATTGAGATTCTAAAATCAAAGATATTGTGAAAAAAAAATTTGCGAAATTTAAACAGAATAATAATAATTGCATCAGCTCCTAAGACATTTTTCAGGAAGTTTGAAGTGTTTGCACAAGATTACATATTACACATTTACTCATTTTTACACATATGTCTTTACTTTCAAAATATGTTTAAGGGAACAATTGCAGGGAAATTCGTATCTCATTGAGTAATCAGAAAACAAACCATATAAATATGGATCAGCTAGTCAAAAGCTATACACGTTTGACAGCAACAGCAGAACCATGTTCTCTCTCAGTGTCCTCCTGCTCACCGGTACGTTTCTTTAATCTGCTTAAATTGCAAAATCAGATGCACGGTGAACACTAATGTATAATTGCACTTTTAGACATTTGAACAGCTCTGTTCTAGGTTAAATTTAGGGTTGAGAATAGTGTGAATGACTTTAAGATTAGCATTGCACAGGCATTTTAATCATTTATCTTCTGTTGTTTTCTTACAGTGGTGCTTCTGAACTCCAGATTGCTGATATCTGCAGGTATTTCATTTATCCTTGAACCACATCAACAATCAGTAGTTAAACAAAGATTACCTAATTGTTAAGTTCAGAAGATCAGACAACAGACAGTATGCATAAATATGGATTAACTTGCACCAAAATCTGTCAGATCTAGCATGCAAAACCACATGCATTGCAAAAATGTAAAAGCCTGGATGCAGTGGTTGCCAGAAGAACGTTGTTTCTTATTATTATTATTATCATCACTACTAAGTATTTTCCCAATGTAGTATCTGGAGTTTCTTGTTCTCTCCCCTATAGTTGATCAATCTCACCTTGTTACAAATGACTTTTTAATTTTTCAGAGACTGTAGTTACATGTGATGGGTTTGTCCAGCGTCTCAGTTGTGGTAAGATGTGTCACAATAATCTAAAGTTATTTATTATGTTTTCTATTGTTATTGTTGTTGTTTTAACAGTAATTCATTATGTATTGATGTTTTTCTTCTGTTCAGATACTGGGGTGATCAGTGTACAATCAGCAACCTGTGGCCGCACAAGCAGCCAAATTTGCAGCATTGGACGACCACCATCTGAGACATCTTATACTCAGTGTTCAATAGATGTCACTGCGGTCTTCAAACGGTAAGATATTTTTCATTGTCTTTTTGCTTGTGACTACAGACAGAAAAATTATGGGTAGAATTGGTAAGATGTATCACAGTAATCTAAAGTTATTTATTATGTTTTCTATTGTTATTGTTGTTGTTTTAACAGTAATTCATTATGTATTGATGTTTTTCTTCTGTTCAGATACTGGGGTGATCAGTGTACAATCAGCAACCTGTGGCCGCACAAGCAGCCAAATTTGCAGCATTGGACGACCACCATCTGAGACATCTTATACTCAGTGTTCAATAGATGTCACTGCGGTCTTCAAACGGTAAGATATTTTTCATTGTCTTTTTGCTTGTGACTACAGACAGAAAAATGATGGGTAGAATTATGACTCTGTTGCTTACTCTGTGGTTAGCTTACTTATTAGTATATATTGCATTATATGTCTTTATCCTTAAACAGGTGTAATGGACTGAGAGAGTGCGAGTTAAACACTCAAGGACTGGCACCAAAAGATCCATGTTTTGGCACCTACAAGTACTACACTACCAACTACATTTGCATCCCAGCAGGTTTGGACGTTTTCTATCTCTTCCTCCAATTCCATTTTTTTATAATTTCCTTCTCTGTGTAAATGTTTTCTGTCCATTTTCCAGAAACAAGTGTGACTTGTCACGGTGGATACAGTTATTTGAAATGTGGTGAGTGATTTTTCCACATCTCTCACATTGTTTCAAGAAATGGAGTCACGTGGATTACTTTTTTTTTGGATTACGGATTATTTTTTTTATCTCCATGTAGAAAATGGTAAGATTCAGATAAATACTGCAAACTATGGACGTACAGATAAAATCATCTGCTCTGAAGGACGTCCATCCGAACAGCTCCAAAACACCAACTGCTATTCACCCAATGCACTGGCGCCTGTGTCCAAAAGGTAGGTAGATAATTTTTTTGGAAAGTTCATGATCTTCTTTCAGTCTAAGCTATCAGGGAACGTTCTGGCAAGATTAATGAACGCTCTTCCAGTAATGTTATTATAATGTTTGTTTAAAGTAGTCTTTTTACTAGCATTCTCAAAACATCAGCACAAAAATGTTATTTATAAAATGTCCATGGAATATTTTTTCCTGAAACATTTTAGTTGGATATTAGTCTAACCTTTTTAAACATTTCTACGCATTACTTTCTAGAACATTCAAAAGTAACATTTCCATTAGAATGTCCTCTTAACGTTTTCTTTAGCATTCACATAACCAAGAAAAAATGGTTTTAAAAACATTTGAAAACTTTCAGAGAACAGTCAGAAATAATGCGTTCTTAATGGTAATGTCAGGAAAATGTTTTTAGAACATATTTTTGTTAGCTGGGATAAAGATGCAAAGACTAATGTAAGCCTTCCTTTTTTGACATATGAAGCTGCAATGGTCTGGAAAGTTGTGAGGTGTTTGCGACACATACAGTCTTTACTGATCCCTGCTTTGGCATATACAAGTACCTCGCAATCTCTTACTTTTGCCTCCCACCTGGAGTTCGTGAGTATTTATTACCAGATTTGCTCAGTTCTTTATAGTGTGTTTAGAATATTTTGATTTAAGAGACTTTTGAAACAAGAGCCTTATTTAGTACGGCACATTATTCAACGTTGAACGTTATTTCTCCCCTGCCTTCCAGCAACCCTTTAGAAAAAAAGTACACTTCAGCATACTTTTAAAAAGAGTACTTATGGATATAATATACTTGAAAAGAATATGCTGTGAAGTTAATGTAATGTTTATTTGCATGATAATTACAATTAAATGAAACTATATTATAGTTTAGATTTATATTAGATTCAATTAGCTGAACTTAAATTCCAGATGAAATCATACTTGAATTTATTTATTAGTATGAATATGTTAGCCTTAAGGTTTTCTGTATGCTAGTGTGCTCCAAAACAATGACAAAAATGTGCATTTAGAAGATATAAGCATTCAAAACTTAGTCTTTAACTTCCGCCAATATGAATCAACGATTTTGATCACTCTGCACTTCAGCTTCATCAAACTTTCTGTCCAGTCAAATGCTCTCTAGAATCCAAAATACACTTTTAAGATTTGATGTACACTACAAGTGCATATTAATTACTAAGCACACTTTTTTCACAAGGCAAAACACATAAATATAGGCTACCAGACTCCATTTTAATATGCTTTAAAAGTCATGATCACGGTACACACTGCACACACCATTACTCACTAAGCCCATTTTACATTTATTTTAAATTGACATTTTTTAAAATTGCTTTACAACATCTCTCTGTTTACTCTAGGTTCAAGTATAGTCTGTGAACATGAGACGAGTGCCCTGAACTGTGGTGTGTATTCTGTTCTTACCTAGGTGTTACAGAGTTTTACTTGAGCGTTACTTGAGTTCGTGACTGAATAGTATATTTAGAGACTGTAAAATGTTGAATTGATGTTTTCAGATGATGGGACTGTCATACGCATTCACAGTGCTAACTATGGCCGAACTGACAGCAGCACGTGCTGTACTGGACGACCTGCTTCTCAGCTTGCCAAAACTGACTGCTACGCCTTAAATTCACAGACAGTAGTCACTAGTGGGTCAGTTTATGTACAAATTTTCACATGTAATTCAGTCTTTGCCCTGCAGAAAAAACACAAACACAAACCAGATAGGACCAGCTAAGATTTGTGTAGTCTAAGCATTTTCTCCCAGCAGGGTAATAAAATCACTTTTTAATGAAGTGTTTTTTCATTAATTCATATTTTATCATTGTGTAGATGTGAAGGGAAAAACAGCTGCTCCATATTGGCCTCCAACAGTGTCTTCTCGGATCCATGTGTCGGTACATTCAAGTACCTGTACATCTCATACTCCTGCGTGTCTAAGTGTAAGTGTGACTGTACAGAGCAATGATACTGCATATGTGTGCTAGTTTTCTAATGTGTTGATTAGTTTTGGTTTGGTTTTGCTCATGAACATACGGTGGCCGAGAAGTGCAGAACAAATCACAATTCTGAAAACAAAATAACAAATTACAAACGCAAATGCAAGTCTAAAAAACAAAATAACAATTCAGAAAGCACAACAACAATTCAGAATACATTATGACAAGTCAGAAAACACAACGACAAATCAGACAAACCGGAAGAGGTAGGTATAGTTTGAGACAGCGCCATTGGTTTGGGATTACTCACCGCTGACTGGACGAGACATCTGTCAATCAACGTATACAGGAAGAACCAGCTGAAGAACAGCAGAATCGTGGTAGAAAGTTCGGAGATGGTATTAAAGTAGCTCAGTTTAAATGTATTGTATGAATTGCCCTTACTATGGCATAAAAAATACGGGGTGTCTATTTACATTTAGTTAAAAGTGGCTGTAAACCTTCAGCTCCAGTGGCGCCGATGGATAAGCGCTTGCCCTTGGATTTTTGACGCGATTGACACCTTTTGCCGAACTTTTTTTCCCTCCCTTTTCAAATCTCGTATTAGCAATGGATTCTATTTACACTAAGTGAAAATAGCAGTATTTTTTAGCAATAGCTATTTACACTAAATGCAAATACCTATTTACACTGTTAAAATAGCAGGATTTCTACTATCAAGTATACTACTTGTTGCAAATAGTGGCAATTATCTGCACTTCACTATTGTAGTACATTATAAAACAGTATGCAATAATAACGTATTGAGTGTAAATTATAATTTAAATTATTAAATGGATGCCACCTTATTGGTACAATAAAGCCCTCCCTACACCAACCCTAACCCTACCCCATACTTTATTTTCAACTTTTTGATTATTTCCTTAATTTTTATTGAAAATAAATGCCTTTACGATGTGATAAGAGATTTGAAAAGGGAGGGAATAAAAGCTCGGGAAAAGTCGGGATCGAACCCGGGTCGATCGCATCAAAAAGATAAGGGCAAGCACTTATCCATCTGCACCACTGGAGCTGATGCTCTACAACCAGTTTTAACTAAATGTAAATATACACTCCGTATTTTTTTTATTCCAGAGTAAGGGCAATTCATACAATACATTTAAACTGAGCTACTTTAATACTCCGAACTTTCTACCACGACTCTGCTGTTCTTCGGCTGGTTCTTCCTGTATATGTTGATTGACAGCGGTGAGTAATCCCAAACCAATGGCGCGGTCTCAAACTATACCTACCTTTTCCGGTTTGTCTGATTTGTCGTTGTGTTTTCTGACTTGTTAATTTGTTTTCGGCTTTGTCATTGTGTTTTCTGACTTATGTTTTCTGAATTGTTGTTGTGCTTTCTGAATTGTTATTTTGTTTTTCAGACTTGCATTTGCGTTTGTAATTTGTTATTTTGTTTTCAGAATTGTGATTTGTTCTGCACTTCTCGGCCACCGTATGAACTCACTCAGGCTAGACTGATAATAGCTCATTACTGTTGATGTTTGTGTTTGCAGAGAATGACAGCTGATCTTGTGGATTTGGCCTCTTCAATTCTCTATCAGCATCTCTTCTATTTTAAATGTGCTGAAACTAAATCTATTTCTTCATTGTTAATGCATCTAATATTATATGGTATTTGCGGTCTTTCCTCTTGTAAATATATGGCCAAAAAGGTAATGGTAGAATACCAGTATGCTAATCTGAAATCAGTCTTTGTGTCCGGATGAAATCAGTGGCTTTGATTCTCATACGATTAATTTTTCAATAGGCCTTGCTTATACACTATGTTGTGGGATTTTCCTTACAATAAATGCTTTGCAAATGAGAATGAGGTGAGTGTGTCTTGTTCTTAAAAGCATGTTGACCAGCTTCACCTTATCATCATTTACCAAGTGTTAGGGAAAATAATACAGAAAGGGTGCACATTGTTCATTTACATATTACTGACATTGTAACAATGCAATGCTGGTTATCCCTAGCCTTTAAGAAGCACAGTGAAGTCTATTATTAAGAAGTGGAGGATATCTGGTACAACAGTTCCTCCCTGGATCAGGATGTCACTCCAAACTGGATGAAAGAGTCAGGAGGAAACTGGTGAGAGAGAAGACCAAGAGCTACAGCAAATCTGAAGCAGTCGCAGGAATTTATGACAAAGAGTGGTCATCGTGTGCATGTGACAACAATATCACAAATTCTCCACAAATGTGGCTTGTATGGGAGAGTTGCAAGAAAAACTCCTCCTCAAGAAAGATCACATGCAGTCACGACTGAGCTTTGCCAAAACGCACCGTGAAGATTCGGAGGCAGATGAGACTAAAATTTTATTATTTGGCCTCAATACTAGGAACGATATGTCTGACGGAAATCCAATACAGTTCACCATTCAAATAACAGCATTCCTCCAGTAAAGCATGGAGGTGGTAATGTCCTGTTATGGGGTGTTTCTCCGCAGCAGGGACTGGAGCACTTGTCAGGATAGAAGGAAAAATGGATGGGTCAAAATACCATAAAATTCTTTTGAGGAAAATCTGTTTCCCTCTTCCAGAAAGTTGTCAATGTGAAGAAGGTTTACAATAACTCAAAGCACACAGCTAAACTGAGCACACCGTGTTTGAAGGAGAAGGTGAATGTCCTTGCACGGCCAAGCCAGAGCCCAGACTTAAACCCCACTGAAAATCTGTGGAATGACTTGAAGACTGCAGTCCACAAACACTCACCATCACATTGAACTGAACTTGAGCAGTTCTGAAAAGAAGAGTGAGCAAATATTGCAAAGTCTAGATGTGCTAAGTTAGTAGAGACAACATATCCCAACAGACTAAAGGCTGTAATTAAAGCAAAAGGTGGTTCAACAAAATACTGACACAAAGGAGTGATCTTTTTTCCAACTCCGTGATTCAGTTTTTTCTCTCTCTCCGACATGTTGGTGTTATATCTTTCACTTGGATGTTATAAATTGTAAATCCAACTGCATAAAAGAAAATGTGGCCAGCTTCATTTCAGGCTGCAAAGCAACAAAATGGGATTCTTTTCTATACCAGGTGGTAAAAATTTGGGACTTATTAAACATGTCATTCCTACCTCATATGGTAAAAAACATGTTTTAGCTCTTTTGATTAATATGGACCATAAGGTATTATTAACATAGTATGTCAAAGCAGAAACTATCCTACTTTGGGCTTTGTTTGCAAGAGAACATTAACTTTAAACTGGCTTTACTCATTCAAGTTAATACCATTTAAATAATTCAGAATAAATCAGTGTCCTCTTCGAAATTAATGTTTAAAAATGTCACTGCTTGTGTTTAAGAATATGACCTTCATTAAAATACAGCTTAAGCAGCACAGAATTGAACAAGAAAGCAGAGAAGTTAGACTTACTCTGTATTTGGTGAAAACAAACTGCCAGTTTAATAACCATACAATAAAACCTGTAAATACCGATGAATTATACTAAAAAAAAAAAAAATGATTGTAACAAAAAAAAAAAACAGGAGGATGAAAAACACACAAACAGCTAAAGTGGAACAAAGGGCGTTATCAGGAAGGACGATTAGAGTTCACAACCCCCGATCCCAAATACACTCACTCTCACATTCAAACACACACACACATTCAAACACACACACAGTTACTCTCTGTTAGCAGCACACACAATCTTACAGTCACTCAGACACGCATAAAGGACAGGGTTTGATAATCAGTACATGTTAAATTCACAAACAAAATGACTGGACCTGCTATAATGTCAGCATGTCACCCTGTGAGCCACCCCCACCCCCCTCCCAGCCATGGGGGCTTCGCCGAGCGTCTTCCTGTGGGTGGTGATCATCACTCAGAAGGTACAGGGGAGCGAGACGGGAACTGGATGGAGGGGGGTGGGTGCTGTAGGGTGGAATGAGGTGGGAGGGTTGGTGGAAGCCATTTGTGTATTTAAGGTGGATGTGTGTAGGTGTTTGGAAATCAGTGCTGCTCCCCTAGTTCTCATTGTCGCCTGCTTCGTCACCCTGGTTTTCTGACGTCCAAAGCTGCATGTATGAGAATTAATATATTATATGAGTCAATTAAGCACTTAAACAGAAATATAACTGGTGCAGAATGTATAATGGAGGACTTACAGTGAGGTTGTCCCTTAGAAGCTGCATGATCAAGGTGCTGTCTTTGTAGGAGTCCTCATTTAAAGTGTCAAGCTCAGCAATGGCTTCATCAAAAGCCTGTAACAGAGGCACTGGTTTCTCATTTGGGCTGAGCATGAAATACACTGGTGCTTGTATTTGATTTGGCTCAAACAATGTTCATTGTAGTCAAATACATAAAATACAAATTCATATGATGAAGCGTAAGAGGCTGTTCACATAGGACACATTCTAGTTTTTTTTTGTAACACACACTAGATGGATATCTTTGGCGACTGTACTCTCTCACTACTTGGCAAGTTAAAAACAGTTCAACTGCTATAATGGGTCTCTGTCCAAATTGTATAAAATGCAAGAACTCGTCCTGTGTGAACGGCCCCTTATGCTGTTAGCATTTAAAGATACCAACCGTCTTAGCGAGGTGACAGGCATTCTCAGGAGAGTTGAGGATCTCGTAGTAAAAAACGGAAAAGTTGAGGGCAAGACCCAACCGTATAGGGTGTGTGGGTTGCATTTCTTTCTTACTTATCTCAAAAGCATCTTGGTAAGCCTTCTGAGAGTTCTCAACAGTGGCTGAAAGAACAAAAAGTTGATATTGTGTTGATTACATAAAAAAAAGCCAAATATATAATTTAATATACAGCCAAATATATAATTTAATATACTTATGTCACAGATCGTCGGACAGATAGATAATAGTGATGCAGTGAAATTAACGATTTACAGAAACCAAAAAGAAAGTTCTTATTTAATCAAAAACCAAAACTGAATATGAAGTTCCTTGAATTCACTTTGGGTAACTGAACTCATTATGCAGTTAAGGGTGTAAAGTTCTTCAGCAACAAGCCACTTCTCAATGTTTCAGCCGAACAAATTTTACATAGTGCTACTCTAGAATCATTTTTGGTCACACTGAAGTGTATCCAAACTGCTGACGTCTTCACCTGTTGTAGCTTTTCCACAGCATGTTAATGAAATAGATGCTAAAACAGTCAAAACGCAACTTTGAAGAAGTGCTAATTAAACTTCACTGTGATCTATAATTTCAGTTCTCTAAAAGTATTACGCCGGAAACTTTTTTTTTCTGTTTTGGCCAAATATTTTTAGTTTCCAAAATGTTGGTTTATCACTCATAGATGGATAGACAGATAGATAGATAGATAGATAGATAGATAGATAGATAGATAAATAAATAAATGACAGACAAACAGAGAGACGGATAGATAGAACAATATAATAATAGACAGAAAGAACAACAGACAGACAGATAGAACGACAGACAGAGATAGAACAGTGTTTCACACAGACCTACACTCTATTTGTGACGGCACGTCCCCCAATGGAGGGTGGGGAAATGTTTTTTTGTTTTGTATTATAATACAAAGAAAAATTGCTCCAATGCAAATATTTTCAATTGCGAAGAACTTTATTTATATAATTAAACATCTCCCCCACACAGCAACTCTACTTTTTATAGCACTTTTAACATTCTTTGTTTGAACATGCCATTTTACAGGCTTTCTGAAAAAATATTCTTGGAAAATATTTTTCAATATTCATCTAGATTGAAGTAGCAGACACGGAGCATCATTGTTAAAGTACTTAACATTACTGTTAGGGCTGGACCAGAATATTCAATCATTTTTTTTTCTCAAACACCTGGCATCCCAGGAGTGAGGACAAGACAAAGGCAGTGTGATTGTGATTTGAAACTGGCCTATCACAACACATCAAGTTTGAAAAATCAGTTCTGTAAGTAGTATGCCTATAGTATATTGTTGGTGTAAAAAAACGAGCTGCTTTTATCCACCATGTTAATCAGTAATTTTACACATGATAAAAACGGGCACTTAATTTGCTTGGAAAATACTTGCGAATATGGCAGTCATAAAAAAAAAATGTACAGTAGCCCAGCCTGATAATAATTTGTCTATAGGTACATCCCCAGGTATCGCAGCCATCAACATGCTCAACCACACCCAAAACTTCACAGCAGATCCTACAATCTGTCTAGCCAGCCTAACGTTACCTTGTTCTATTTAGCCTATTAAAGTTTGTTTTATTCTATATAAGGGAATTCATTTAATCTGTTTGTTAATTAAAATGTGTGATGCTGTTATTGAAAGAATGCTACCGTGTTCTTTATTTATTACAGTCCGTAGAACTTTATTTTTCGTTCTTCTTTTATTTAAATAGCCTACCCTTTAAGGTGTCAGTAATTACTGTGCTGCTAATTTCTGATTTGGGAGTGATTTGTTTGTTAGAAAAATGTTAGGCTACCTTATTAAAAGTATTGCTCTTAACCGACCTGTGTGTTTTGTATCACTAGTGCAGTATCTGTTCTTGGATCATATAAGCCCTGCCCGTGTGAGGCGCACCGCTTCTGGCTCACGCTGTTCTGTAGTTCATTAAAAGTTTATTAATTCTGAACGTGTTTGGTCCATATTGCACCAAAATGCGACACTGCACTCCCTTGGGTCCGCAGCAACACACCCACCACGCGTGAAGTCGAATGGATGAACGGTTCTCGACATAATAAAAATGCAAACAGACAGATACACAGAGATTCCTGCTCCTTTATTAGAGAGAAGAATATGTTCAGCCCCCTCCCTCCGAAGCTTTGAATATTCGATGTTGGTAACTACCGAAGCTTCGAAGCTCAAAAAATGGTATTCAGTTAGCCCATTTTAGGGTATCTGCAGGGTTTTTAAAATCAAATGTAAGGCTCTTAACAACCTTTTTAAAGACGTGCACAAATAAAATAAAATGTATCATTAAACCGTAATATAACGGGAAAAAAAAAAACATATATGGGTTTTTACAAAAACAAATTTTTGTGTGTGTTTGCTGCTTAAAAATATGGGTCGATTTGTGCACTGGTCTTAACAAAAACAGCAGACGGGCTGATTGAAAATGCTAATTCATTCTCTGCCAGTAGGTGGCGCTAATGGAAACGGCAGAATTATAGCGATTTTCCCCAGTAACGGCAAAGTAGAACTGCACTTATAAACGCCACTTTATCAGGCATTATAAGTAGGTAAGATAAAATGAAAATGCCATCAATAATTTACTGAACACAGTCGGTTCCCTTCAGAGATACATTCATATAAACACGCTGCATTTTGACTTGTACAGCGCTCATATTTATTCAATGAAATCATAGCCTTTTGAAATTTAATCCAGCCATATCACGATTCCTGCATGAGTTTTGGACAAATTTGTGCAACTCTATTTGTGGCAGTCAATGTTGATATTGTGGCAGGCCGCCACAAATAAATCAATGTATGGAAAACACTGAAACGACAGACGATAGAATGATAGATAAATAGATACAATGCACTTACTGGTCTTGGATTCTCCAGACGCGACCTCAGATAAGTATCTGAAGTAATCGCCTTTCATTTTCAGGTAAAACACCTTGCTCTCTGCCTGAGAAGCATTGGGAATGAGGAACTTCTCCAAAAGACCCTGTCAAGACAGGTAGGGACCATCAGGATTTTTGGTCAAACATAGTGAAATATGGAACAACATTTGACTATTCCACTTTTAATACTGAAATTAAGCGTTCTTTGAAAACTGAACACTAAATATTTTGTATTTAACTTCAAGTGATGTCATCATTATAAAAGGTTCAGAGGATGAAGAGAAAGAAGTGCAGATACCAGCACATCATTGCAGATGTCCTGCAGCTCCGTCTCGATCTTTTCACGATACTCGCGTGCCATCTGTTGCTTCTTCTCGTTCCCCTCGGTCTTCTGCTCGATGCTGGAGATCACACGCCAGGAGGAGCGACGGGCGCCCACCACGTTCTTGAAAGCCACAGAGAGCAGGTTGCGCTCTTCATTGGAGAGCTCCACGCCGCCCTCGGTAACAGCCTTCATAGCGGCTGCCATGTCATCATAGCGCTCGGCCTGCTCGGCAAGCTTGGCTTTCTGCACCAGGTCACTCTTGTCCATTTTTAGACTGAGAATCAGATACGAGTAGTTATGAGCACAATAATTCACAGAAAACCACTAAATTTTACATTTTGAAAGCACAAGACAGAAACATGTAACACACTATTAATATTAATGGTCAAAAATTGATGATCAGCAGAGGTTAAAGGGCTGCATTGACAATAGGAATTACTGTGTTTTTAATCATTTTGATAAACTGACATCAATTCTTCAATCCCAAGATCAGTATTTTAGTCTATTCCGTTTTCATTTGATGTGCAAAACTTCTCTAAATGATATTTGTAGCGTGCCTCCCATCCAATAATTTTAATAAGCTTGTGTTGTTACTTTAGATATGAAACGGTCTCAGCTTTCAAATTTTGTAAATTTAAGCATGAAAATATTGAACATCAGAAAGTGTTGAAAGAAACAGTACAACTTACTGAAACGTATCATGTCTCATGTAATCGCTCAATCTGTGTTTCAACCACGGAAAGACATCAATAAAGCGGCTTGCAAGCAATGTCATGTAAAGTTACATTTACACCTCAGAAAAGTCATTCAATGTCCATAAAATCCATAGTTAGCTAGAAAAAGGCACTCTAGATATTCATTATATATTTATTTAACCTGTTAGTGATGTCTTATTTAATGTATGTTTGAATAAATCTGTCATGTAAACAAGTTATGACAGCCATGTTTAGCCTACACATATATACATATATATATATATATATATATATATAAAACAAAAAACCTGAGAACCATGAAAAAAAAAGTTTGTCATTACACTGGTTGGAGCATAAGAAACAAATGTAGAAAAAACATTTTTGAAAAAAAGATACTTTATTCTATATCCTTTGTAGAGTACGCCAGGACTAAGTTATTTAAAAAAAAAAACTTAAATAGACATGAAAAGTCATGAATAGCAAAAACAACGATTTATTTTTTTCATTGACCAAACAGTTTTCAGGTTTCAAACTATTTTGAACCAAACTTTGTACAAAGGCGATTCTAAACTATGTTATGAAAGATATAACAGAATGCGTTGTTATACTACTGTACTTTATGGAATATGTGCGTAAGATGTCCTTTAATTGGTATTCCCATTCTATACAATGTCTCGATACACTGCATCTAATTTGCATATTAATGTGTTCTTGGGGCAAACCATAATGAAAAAAGAAGTGTAATAATGCGAGTAATAGCTTGGCAACATTTTCATAAGATTATCTCATATTTCATAGGAACATTGATCTATAATTTCTTTCCCTATTGACCCCAAATTGCCTGATTAACATTATGTTTGCCCTGGTGTCCTCTACAGAAGACATGCATGAAAATGATGCCCTGTTTCATAACAATAAGTCATATTCCGACATCTTTTTCTGAGCTGTTTTTTTTTTTTTTACGACAAACAATTTGAAAATGTAGTCAGAATTAAATAATTACAAAACATTATATTTCCCTAAGAGTGCTAAATTTGATCATACTGTCAGTATCGGTCATTTTTAAAGACCAAGGAGAGGGATTGTTTGTGATCAAACCTCCAAACATTTGATATCTATTTGATATAAAACTGTGGCATGTAGAGTCTCGAGTGAATGCAATGTCCTCTACAGCGGACAAAGGACTAGTTCTGATTATGAGGTCTAAAAACAAATAGCAATTGATCTGAATAGTTTGCACACTTTAATATCAATGTACCAACTGGGAGGGTCCCCTGTATACTGTACCTATATATCCAAATGATTCGAAATGGGATCGAATAACGTGACTCGAAAGCTTGTGAATAGGAAACCATTAATAAAATGTGACAACTAACAGGTTTACGATCGCATTGAGAAGAAAGTGATGAGAAAGTGTCTGAAACTTAATGCACGACCAACAGAAAACATTACGGCATCATGTTTAACAGCAACACTCACTGGTCACATTCACACTGGACAAGGCCTGCCTAGAGAGAATTTAGGGTGAGCACAGCGACTAAACACTAGTAGATGAAAACATGTTTTACTAGAACAAATCGAGCACTCAGGCCACGGCTAAAATAACCGGCTTTCATAATGTGTCCTTTTCTAAGTCGTGAAGTTCAGCAAACCGCTCCGCTGATGTGAGCTAGCGCGCTAACCACACACCCTTTCACTGAAACGACGACATTCTCCGACAATATGTAATGAGTCTCAACCTTCTAAACAATACTGCTAACGTTATACTATTATCTAACACTAAATGCTGGCAGGGGGCTCGGATATTTCATTGTATCGACTCAGGGCGTCTGACAGCCCGAGGCCTGAAGCGCTTAGCAAGCTGCTAACCCCCTCCGCTGGCCGCGAGAACGAACACAAGGCCGTTCCAGCAATGAAAGCATGTCAGGTGAGACACATGGAGAGCCATAGACTGAATAAGGGAAATACACTCACGTTATAAACGGCGTTTGCTCTGACTTTAATCGTTAAAAAGACACAAATTGGGTCCCCGTCCTCCGCGTCGCTCTTCGGTTGCTCTGGGCTAAACCTCTTCCGCTTACAGAGACACTTCCGCTTCCTGCGAACTGTCTGAAAGTTTCTCTCTTATGTAACCTATAGTTAGTTGATACCATGAATAACCCGTTTAGAAAATACCGACTGACTCATTAAAACCATAACTGGTTAAGCACATTTGTAGTACACAGAGGGGAGGTGAAAAAGTACAATGGTTCATATTAACATTTGTGTTCTTTTGAACTTGATTATCATTATGTTTATTTGCAAATGCCACTGCCTGCAGGTATAAGTGACACATTTCCTGCAGAAATACAGGATAGGCCAAAAGTTGTCAGCGGTTGGGGCTGAGAGACCAGCTAAAATCAGGAACCACATTTATGAGAGTGAGGTAAGGTGTGGCAGCTTTGCTTTAGGTAAGGAGAAAGCAGACAGTAGAGTAATACGCCTAATGCTATTTCAAGACAGCTTCGACATAAGGAAGGCCACAGAAGTACTGTCTAAAAATAAATACTAGCAATCATTTTTAATAGAAAAACAAAAGTTTACAGAATTAGATATTACTCATTAGACAGAAGAAGCTACACCAGCCTCACTAAGAGGAAGATCTTTTGAATGATCAAAGGTTTGGGGTCAATAATACATATTTTTTAGATGTTTTTAAAAGAACAAAGAACTTGTACGCTCATCAAGGCTCAAAATTTTATTTTCTATTTTAATGTCATTTATTCTTCTGATGCAAGGCAAATGTTCAGCAGCATTACCCCAGTCTTCAATGTCATATGATCTATCAGAAATCACTCTAATATGCTGATTTGCTGCTCAGGATAGATTAATTATTATTATCAATGCTTAATATTTTTGTGGAAACTGCGATTTTTTTTTTCAGGATTCTTTGATAAACAGGAAGTTTAAAAGAACAACATTTATTTGAAATCGAAATCGTTTGTAACATTATACATTTCTTTACGGTCACTTTTTATTTATTTAATGTGCCCCTGCTGCTAATAAAAATCCTAGACCCAAACATTTGCATGCATCGATAAGCAAGAAACAAGTGCACAAAACTGAAAACTTTCATCATTTTTATTTTTAAAAAAAATTTCTAATTTCAAACATGCCAACAAAAATCGTTCATTTCCATCTAAGCACTGCAAACATGCCCAAACCTCTGCTGCTCAACGCTCTACTGAAGAAAACAGCGCAATCTGTATTTGTCTGAGGAATTACATACGAACAGTGATCTTGTATTCTAGAGTTCAGAAGAGATTTAAAGTCACACTTCTGCTGGACGTCTGGATCACCAAACACTCGCTTGGATCCAATCTGAACATTGTGAAATGACTGTCCCATAAAAACATATTTTGAGATTCAGTTTTATTTTGATAAAACAAAGTCCGATATAAAAGGCTGTGGTTCATTTTCCAAAAGCATAGAAGATGTTTGCCTATTTCTGGTTTCCATCCAGTAATATTACCTTTTTTTCTAAAAAACAAATACTGCTCAGAGTAAATATTCACCAAATAGGCAGAAATATGCTATGGTTATCAGATATGCTAAATGCACAAAAAATATAATATTTCTGGAGGAAGGGGGTAAAGTAAGACAAGCAAATCAGAGGCAGCCTGTTTGCAAGCCTTCTAGCTTCAGAGTCAGATTTATTAATAGAGATTACACTCAAAACCCTCCAGAGTTCACTCCAAGCCTTGGGTCACTGCGCTTCAGAGGAGAGCAGCGAGGACTGTCGTCAGCCAGAGGGGCAGAGCATCAGCCTGGGAAAGAGGCCAGAACAGGGAGCTTGAATTAGTTGGCTTTGGCTCGAAGCTGGGCTCTTTTGCCGGTGACAGCCTGGAAGCCGGTCTTGATGCTGGCTACAGAGCAACGTGAGTGACAGGTTTCACACTGCAGGAAGTAGAGACGCGTGTCCTTCTGCAGAATTGTATCCGGTGAGCGGCAGGTGTGACAAGTCACATATTCCTCTGTGAAATGCAAAGAGAAAATGCCTTGTCAAAAATTTGTATTATAAACAGTAAATGCTGAGTTTTTCACCAGTAAACCAAAAAAAGTGAAACTAAACACTACCACATGTACTACATTAGAAAAGAGGTCACTACTTTTTTTTTTTTTTACATGAAACTAGGGCTGCACAATTATTAGTGCAATAATCAAGATTACAAATGCACAAATCACATGGGAAGACGTACGTGTCGTGACTCATTCGCAAATGAGGGCAAGATGATACATTATAATATTTGACTTACTTATATATCTTCTCAAGACGTTCTCTATTTGTTTCTGTTGAAAGCGTCCCTTGATTACAAGCTGGTTATTTCCATCTATGGATCCACTAGAAGCAGGAAGACATTGCTTGTGTTACAGAAGAAATCACCTTTTCACATTTGACAGAATTCTGGAAATGCAATTAAAAGCTCACCATGTTCCTAACTCAGCTAATAGGAATGCCAAAAGATGTTTGGGCTGTCGATGCAACCTGAAAAATTAACATGCAAGAGTTTATTAGACAAAATTATACCAATAAACTAGAATCACTGGTTTGGTTACATTCACATATGGGTCACTGACAAGAAAAAGTGTCCATGTTAAAGATAAGGAAAAACGTATGTATGTATTCATTTATTTTTTCCCCCACACTTATGTGTGATTGTATACACTTTAATCTTTATTTTCTAGAAGGTTTTAAACATATTCTTCAAATGCAAAAAGTATTTTTTTCAAATATCATGAATTATATTTATATAGTAATTTATGCATATTCAATATATTTTTGTTTTTATTATTACATAAAAATATGCTTAAATTAATAATAAATACAAATTACAAACTGAACTAACCATGTCTTGTTGTAAAAAGCCATTAAATATTTTAAGAGACTTCTCTATCTATCTTGACACACATAATGAGGGTCTTTTATTGTTTTTATTTCTTTTTTGCATTTTGTTACACTTGATTGTTTTAGCAGACATATGTTAGGCAGATGGTAATTTTATTACTTTAATAAGGATTTACTTTATTATTTTAGGACAGTTCTGTCACTCTGTTATTGTTTGTTTGCATCATCATTGTATGTATGACTTTTTAGCATTTCAATGCTTTAATGTATTTTTGAATAAATTGGTAGGACCAAAAACAAAAGCCTTGTGGTTGACCCATGTATCATCTAGAGCCTGACCAATATGGGTTCTTTGGGGCCGATACCGATATTAGGGAGTAACAACAACAACAACAAAAAGGCAGATATCGATATATCTGCCGATATTCTTTGTGTATATTATAGTACAGTACCAGTCAAAAGTTTGGACACTTTCCCATTCGTGTGTCCAAACATTTGACTGGTACTATATATAGAATACAGTATATACATAAACATTTTTTGCAATGATCACTCAAATGTGGTGATCAAACACTTATAATGACGTGACAAAGATATGTAATGATGGAGGCAGGGCATTTAACAATTTAACAATAAACTTTATTATCCAAAATGAGTCTGACATCAGTGCACTGAACCGTAAAGTTGAAGTTTATTCAACTTTAATTCAATTAAATTCCATTCATTGAAGTTTATTTCAGTTTTGAACATTCATTCACTGATTTGTGCTACTGTCCTCACACACAAACGAAACTTACTAGAGAAGTGTGAAATAATATACCTCTGTAAATAAATATAAATTCACGTCTCGCGCACTTTAATGCCCTTTGAATGTAACGTGTATGTTCCCTTGGAACTGGAATCATGGTGGAATTCCATGGAAGTCCACTTCGCAGGGCACTTACGGTCGAATAAGCCAAAGCTTGAATGCTGCTGCCTGAACAACAGACCTCCTTACTGAAATTAAAGTGTTGGCTGGAGTAACTATCTTGCGAACGCGCCGGCGGATCTCCACCAAATTCGGGGGATCCCTTCAGCTCGAGGAGCCCTCTCGAACGCCACCCTCCATGCGTCGGTAGCCCCCCGGGATCGCTTGATCGGTAGGCGCCGGACCGCGAATTTAAAATGGTCTCATTCGAAAGAGGGCCTCGAGACGTACACTCGATTTGCGTTCGAGAGGCCCGAATTTGGTGCGGATTCGCCGCGCCTTTACGGAGATATGGCCGTTCAAAGTTTCAATGGTTTTCCATAGACTTAAGCTTTAAAGCGTTTCATCCAGGTCGCCAGTAGCAAACAATGGAGCATGCTCTGCTGGACAAACTAAGTAATTACACCATTTCAAGCATTTTATCTGCGTTATATGTTCTGTAAAAAAAAAAAATCATATCGGTGGCATATTCGCCGATATATACTCATATCGCAGATAATATCGGCTAAACGATATATCGGTCGGGCTCTAGTATCATCTGTTGTATTATTTTTAAGAAAATACAGCAGACATGGATACTAAATGTTTATACTCACAGTTTGCAGATGTCAGTGAAGTTGACAAAAGAAGTTTTCTTGGTCCCAACTCGGACCACCTGAGGAGGCTTCATCACAAACTTCCTCTTCTCCCCTGCCACCATATCAGGGTTCTTCTCCCTCATGATGTTAAACACCCGGCTCAACAACTGTAAAGAACGCAGACATGTAAACAATGACACTCTAAGTGAAAGGAAAACTATGTCACAAGCATGGGGTAGAAGTATATCAGATGTGTGAGGAATAAGAAGGATTACTCATCATACCTCATCGTAGGTGTAATCCCTCTCTGAACCGGCCCATGCTGGGCCCGACTGTGAACTGAATGTGATGCCATCTGTGCTTTTATCATCCTCGACAACTGTAGTAAAATATAGGTGAAGAATTCACACAATCAAATATTTAATCATTGCCGATAAAATATTTTTCATGAACTCTATAGTTTCTGGTATTAGAAAATTCATAATTTAAAACAGTGCAATTGTAGTGCATTAAAAACCCTTAAAAATAAAAAGAAATTAAATGATTCTTTTCATAAAATTATAAATTTGATTACGTAACGCAGACTTAATTTTATTGCAGACATATGGAACAGAACATGTAGAAGAGTGGCTGTTTCTTGCAAAAACACAAGATGTAACTGAGCTGCATAATTAGAAAAAAAAACTTCTTAAAGACAGTTTTGAGACTGATGTGAATTTAGAGTCAAATTCCTTGTAGATGGCAGCTCTTGATAACTGAAAGCTTGTTATACACACTTTTTCCTTTAACTTCTACCTTTTATTATTCTACAAATAAATACAATTATGCAGCACACTAATTACATTAAGTGTGTCTTCATACCATCATCCTTTTCCACAGTGTCACTTTCCTCAACGAATTCCACTTTTTTTTGTTTCTTTTTTTTAGCTGGAAGCATCAGATCCAAATCATCTTCCTCCATTTCCTGCTGCTCTCCATCAATTTTCAGCTCCTGGTCACCAATAAAATGAAGAGTCAACAGCCTTTAGAAGAATTACCCAATACAAGAATATAAGCTCAATGGATGTCACATTAGGAATCATTAAACCAGACAGCTATAAAAAAAAAAAATGCAATACCAGAAAATGTAATTGACCCACTTTATATTAGGTGACTATGTACTTATGTCAAAAAAGATCATTGTCAGGTTCTTAATGTTGCATTGCAAAACACTTCTGATGTGGGACACGATAAAAGTTAGAGACAGGTTTGGCAGTATGGTTAGGTTTCCGTGTGGGTTAAGAGGTAGGTGTAGATCACAGTGTAATTATAAATGAACTACAGAAACTAATTACAGATGTAATTGCATACAGGTATTTTTAAAATAAGTATAATGTAAAAACATGTATCTACACGGTAAGTGCATTGTTTCATGATTAATATAAATGTTAGTACGCAGTAGTTAAAGTTATTAGTAGTTAAAAAATATAAAGTGGGTGCAATTTCTTTAAATAATAATATTAAAGGGTTAGTTCACCCAAAAATGGTGTATATGACTTTCTTCTTTCAGACAAATCCAGTCGGAGTTATATTAAAAATGGTCTTTGATCTTTCAAGCTGTTTAATGCCACTCAGCGGGTGTTGCATGCATCAGTCCAAAAGCAGTTAAATAAAATGCGCCCATCCATAAATTTTTTTTTTTTAAAGTGCCTCACATGGCTCCGGGAGGTGAACAAATGCCTCCTGTGGCGAATCGATGCTTTTTTTGTAAGAAAAATATCCATATTCAAAACGTAATAATCACTTTAATCTAGCTTGCGCTCAACAGTTGTACACGGAAGCAGTTCCGGGAGGATGACGTATGAGGTCAGCTTTGCACATGTCTCGTGAAAACCAACGTTTGTTTACAGGAGCAAAGGAAGCAAAGTTTCCTTACTTTAGCAAAGGAAAACCAGTCTCCTCCTGGCTTATATCGAAATCCTCCGACATTCTTCTTTACAAATCCTCATTTTGTGCTCCTAATTAATGACCATTGTTTTGTTTGATCTCTCCGCTGCGCTTCCGCGTTCGTCACTTCTGAGCGGTGCATGCGCAACGCTAAACTCATACGTCACTCCCCCAGAACTGCTTCCAGTGTACAACAGTGAGCGCATCTTCAGGCTCCAGTTCTCGCTCCTCTCCTGCTTCCGGCTCAGGTTCTTTCTGTTCAGTCTGCTGAGCCTCCTCTGCATCTCCATCCTCGTCGAGCATGAAGGGCTTCTTCTTCTTCTTCTTCTTCTTTGTTGTGGTGGGGTCGAATAAAATCTGAGGACACATAACGCACCAGGTCCATTTTGCTCAAACATGCCTCAATGTGCTGAAGGATACAACACGGAGCTCAACTCTTTTTACTAACACTGAGTGTTATTTATTAGTTTTTTCATCCTATACAAGCAGAAATAAGTCATGTAAAACACAGAGTTGTGAACGCAGCCTACAGCACGCTATAGGCGGCACTGAAACGGCTCTCACAATCTAAGCCAAAAGTCACAACATGACCGAGTGTATTCGCTCAACTGTGAATAATAAGAAAACATACAAACAGAGCACCCCAATACCTCGTCTTCTGACATGATGACTGGATCAAAGATCGCTGTTTCTCGTCCTGCTCGATATCGTCGACACGGTTAACACTGCTGCTCTCATCCAGAGTCTTGCATCAGCTCCGCGCGCAAGAATGAGTGCATCTTAATGACGACATCATCGCGCGACTTTGCATGACAGTGGAGCTGCTGTGATTAAAAGAAGCGATTACGAGATTTATGTTCCGATTTGATTTATAGTAATAATTATTAGTTGTTTTGCGTCTTCCAGACATGCATGTAGAACACCACGATTCCAATCACGAATTGTTAATCAAATGAGCAAGATTTTTTTCAGAAGCAAACAGCCATGTGCTTTATTGAAAATCATTAATCCACCCAAACCCTACCAACATGAATGTAAATTAAAGAACAACAAAAGGGACTTGGCAACGAATACACAGGCAAGAAGAAAAGAGTGAAACGCACAGCTAGATGCAGTACAAACAGCATGCCTCACCTTAAAGACATGCCATTCATTAAGGCACATAACACAGCATTATATGCTTTTGAGTGCAATAACGGGACAGCTTTATATAATTGTTAGAAAACACTCTCTGTCTGTATTGGTTCCAGATGTTTTCACCCTCCTTTTCTTTCCTCTCCCTCTCTGCTCGCCCTCCCTGTACAGCGCAATGTTGTCTCCTTCTGATTACCCCTCCTCCATCTGATATCTCTCTCTTGTATTGTTTTAATATCTCTTACTCATATTCGAGGTACGCATGCGCACATGTATGCATTAGCTTTTCTGAGTTCAAATGTTCAAACGAGGACACGCTAGCTAGGACTCCAAGGTAATGGGGTTCATGCTGAACTATGGAGATAGTTCGCCAAGTTTATTCATAATATGTCCATATTTTCCTGTACATGTGGCCATTTTATATAACATATATTCTTGGCCAAAATCCTGTATGTATGTCATCTATATCCTCATTGGTTAAAGGGTTGAAACTCCCCTCGACATATGCCTATATAATATCTTTGTATCTATGAATAAAGTTGAAGTATTGAGAATACAATTTGATGTGTGTTTTCTTGCTTCCCGGCCGTTATACACTTTAAGGGACTGAGAATTTTCCAGGTGGCAAAGAGAATCTGTAGGGACCTTTGTTAATTACTGACAATAATTTTAACAAGAACTAAGTTGGATACAGCAGAAAGACTAACACCACCAGAGAAAAGGAATCCAAAAGTTTAATGATCTCTCAAATAAAAGACATCTGAATTTTTCTTTGAACATACAAATGTACACATATGCCACATAGGCCTCAACCTGAATAGATACAGCATTTTTGCATCTCAAAAAAGTATATGCTCCCATATGAGGGAAAAAAGTGATATCGTTTATTTCTATAATTACAACCATCTACTGTCAGATAAAACCTCAGCACATCAATGAATCAGGCCTGAAAAGAGCACAATAGCAAAGATCTGTTATTAATTAGTTCATTTTCTGCAACTATTTGGATGCACTGAAAACATATAAATGTGTGTATATATATATATATATATATATACACACACAATGGAGCTAACATCTTTTATTTCAATTTGTTACCAAACCATTATATCACTGTCAACAAACTAAAAAAGTTTATGCCTTTATGGAAGTGCTTGAATAACATTAATCTAACAGAACACATTGAGATAAAAGATCGAAGCAAACAACAGTACCAAATATATTTAATATATATCAGATGAGATGAGAGTGTGTTGACCATATATATGAAAACTGTGTATTGGCAAACATGCTAATCTCCATGACAAAACAAAACAACCAGTTTCTGAATAGTATAGAGGTAAAAAAAACACTTCCATCAAAAGAGGGAAAATTAGAAACACCAATGCATTACCTAAATAACCATAGCCAAACATTTAAGGGTCACTTCATATATTATGTCATCAGATTTTATTGTCCGATTAACCTGCTTCATATCCATTTTCGTTTGTAACTCTTGTTTTTGCCACACTGCAAGAGCAATGGTAAAATTTGTTTTGTAGTGTTAACCCTCTGAAGGTTTTCAGGTTTGCCTGCCCAGGCCAACCACGACGAGCAACGAGAGTCTGTCAGATTGGGTACATTCACATGGCCCATGCCTTGAGTTCTTCCATGTCATCCTCATCCTCCTCTTCTCTCTTTTTTTGGGCTGGAGAAACACAAAGACAAATAGTTATAAAGGTTTCCACAGGGGAAACTTTCTATTAGTGTTAAAGACCATTAAAGTGAGAATCCATTTTTCTTTAACCTACCAATTTTACATTATTATCTCATATGTAAACTCTTGAAAGTAGGTTGTGAGATAACAAAAAAACAAAAACACTATGTTGGTATTATGTGAACAGCATGAAACGAACCAGCAGGTTTCTTGGGTAATGGATTTGAAGGCACACTGGGCAGAGAGACATCCTCGGTGCCACCGATTTCCAGCAGGTTCTTGTCCAGTTCCTCCTGTTCCAACTCCTCCAATTCAGCCAAGAGCTCATCCTAGAAAGGGCAAGAATCATATTGTTCAGTCAACATTTGTAAAAACTGCATTAGAAGAGAATGTTGCAGCAAACAGCAATGTGGGATACATCCAAGTAAGATGCATTTCACACGCTCCAAAAATAGAAATCCAGTTGGGAAAATACTTCTATTTGTACTGTTCTTATTAATGTTGAACTGGAAATCTGATTTCTTAAGAATTCGGTTCATCTTCATTTTACTTTAACATTAGCAACACTTGAGCTACATGAACTCTGCATGTTCGTGTAAGACCTGATGAATCATGTTTTCAACAAGATTTAAGATTCCTAACAAGTTCGGTTGAGGAACTTTGGAGACCATACTGAAAATTTGGGATTTTTGATTTTTGTTCTAAAGTGGATTCAAATTCTTGAATGCTCCTCAGTGTGTATCAAACATCATCCAAGTTCGCTCTCTTTGTCTCGACTCACCTCGTCACATTCTTCTCCAAAACCAACAGGCCTCGAAATGGCATCAGAAATCTCCTGTGCCAACTCCTGCTGCTCGGTGATGTCCTGCATGAGGTCGTCCACTTTGTCTATATCCCTAACACAATCAAAAACATCAAATCGATGTATATTTTTGCACATCACCAACCGTATTCTGCGATACAGATTCAATTTCACTCAGGTATCTTACATATTTTCATGCGCTGTCTTCATGGCCTTGGCTGCAAAGCCCATGTTTTTAAGCACTTCTGTGTTTGTATTAGCATTTTCCAATGCTTCTCGCTGGAACTCAATAGTGGAGAGAGTGCCATCTATCTGAGCCAGCTGCTTCTCATATCGCTTCTTTCTTTTCAGGGCCTGTAAAGCAGCTAGAAAAATGGACAACAGACATGCAAACAATTACTTTACATCTATTATATATATATAAATAAATATATATATAACATTTTACAGAAACTATTGGCAAACTTAGGTAATGATCCAGCTAACAAGTTCGGTTGAGGAACTTTGGAGACCATACTGAAAATTTGGGATTTTTGATTTTTGTTCTAAAGTGGATTCAAATTCTTGAATGCTCCTCAGTGTGTATCAAACATCATCCAAGTTCGCTCTCTTTGTCTCGACTCACCTCGTCACATTCTTCTCCAAAACCAACAGGCCTCGAAATGGCATCAGAAATCTCCTGTGCCAACTCCTGCTGCTCGGTGATGTCCTGCATGAGGTCGTCCACTTTGTCTATATCCCTAACACAATCAAAAACATCAAATCGATGTATATTTTTGCACATCACCAACCGTATTCTGCGATACAGATTCAATTTCACTCAGGTATCTTACATATTTTCATGCGCTGTCTTCATGGCCTTGGCTGCAAAGCCCATGTTTTTAAGCACTTCTGTGTTTGTATTAGCATTTTCCAATGCTTCTCGCTGGAACTCAATAGTGGAGAGAGTGCCATCTATCTGAGCCAGCTGCTTCTCATATCGCTTCTTTCTTTTCAGGGCCTGTAAAGCAGCTAGAAAAATGGACAACAGACATGCAAACAATTACTTTACATCTATTATATATATATATAAATAAATATATATATATATAACATTTGTAAGAAACTATTGGCAAACTTAGGTAATGATCCAGTTAATGAAGATATATATGTATATATATATATATATATATACACACATACATATATATAAAACTATAATTTTAACTATAATTTAACTTTTTCTAAGCTGTCATGAAGTTAACATTCAAGATTAAGAGTCAAGCATACTCAAGTGATTCCCAGCATGTGCGATGTGTAATTATGGTAAACAATGGACTCGATTAAGTCAATGGCTGTTATTTCACAACACACCACATGACACTAATCAGAAGTAACTAAGGGATAGGTAATACAATCCTTTACGAAACCAACTCTTGACTTTTGTTCGAGGATTTTAACTTTCGTATCCATGCTATTCTCCCCGACATAAGTCTTATATGAATGCAGTGACTTGATAGTTTCGATCTTCTCTCAGTTTAAGGCAAGTGTCGCATGGGTGTAGCCCCCCAACCAACATCACAGAAACCGACGACAGGTGGGGCGAGAGAAGGCAGACGCTGTCTTTTAAAAGTTATAAGACAACACATGTGAACCCGGCTCGGGTTTAAATACATAACGTTACCTCGTTTGTTTTTCGTGCCGTTTTTCTTTGCTGTTATTAGTTCCGCATTAATCTTTTGCTCTAAGAACTCTTGTTTCTTGGCTAACATCTCTTCTGTCTCGCGGAGTTTCTGGATCGCTTCTTGTGGGCTTGGGCCTTTGCCTCCTTTCCCCCCACCGCCAAACAGTTTGCCGAATACGGACATATTGTTTTGTATTACGAGAACCTAAAAAAAAAAATCCCTCCGAGTCGGCTTGTCTCTAGACACCACTGATAACAAGCCCAGTCGCTGTTCCGTGTTCAGCTGCTGATTGAGCTACTTCCGCCTTCAGGCCCGCTGACGTCACGCTCCTGCCACCAATCACCGCGCAGCTGCTGAGCAGCACTACAGCTCGAGACCACACTCACGATTTGTCCTTGTTGTTTGATTATTTAGGCTACCCTTTATGAAGTCTAAATCTAGTTCGTGTTTACTTTAGCGCCAAAGAAGATGTTTTAAATCAACTTAGCCTGTTTTAAGGAAACTTTAAAGAACCCCCCCCCCCCCCCCCCCCCCCAACGCAATGTA